GAATCTTTGAACTGGCGCCCACACATTCACACCATTTCAAAGAAAATATCTGCTGGTATTATATTTAAAGGCGTGTAAGTCATTTTGTACTACTTGATACTAGAGTGAATATGTACATTGCACTGGTAATGCCACATTTTAATTACTGTGGTGCCGTATGGGGTAATATCAATAAGGGACTAGAAAACAAACTTCAAAAGCTGCAGAATAGGGCTGCTAGAATTCTCACCTTTTCTAATTATGATGTTCGCTCAAGTGTTTTGTTGGATGAACTTGGCTGGGAAAGGCTGGAATATGTAAGACTTAAACAGTTGGCTGTGACAATGTATTAAATCCTTAATAATCTTTCCCCGTCATATCTGAGGCAGATCTTTACCAACACCTCAAATGTACATTCACACAATCTTAGAAACTCTGAGTTAAATTATGTCCCCAGACCCAGAACTGAGTCTGCAAAAGGGAGCCTACACTAGAGAGGATCTGTTCTGTGGAACAGGACTCCCTCAGAGATTAGAAAACAGCCCAGTTTTAATGTTTTTAAAACTTCATTTCATGGGAAAGATTTTTCTGATACACCACTGTAACTTTTATTACTAACAATGTAAGTTTTTGTATTTTTAACATTATAGCTAATAGTTCCTTATTATTCACGATGTAAGTTTTGTATTTTTAATATTATAGTCAATAGTTCCTTAGAGTATTTTAGTTTAGTTTAAACATGATTCCTAGGAAGACCATGTAAAATGATACGATTTCGTGTATAAATAAAGATTGATGATGATGATGATGATGATTTCAAACATGGGAGAGTCTGCGTTGAAATCACACATGAGAAGTGGAAGGCACAAAAACAACAGTAGAATTGGAGGTGAACAGGTGCCTGTGACATTGCCAGTCCACTTTAGGCATGGTTTCAACTTCGAGAACCGCGACTTCTATTGGATTTCAAAAATTGAGGATAACTTCAAATGCCATTTTTCTGTGTGTTATGGCTTGTTTCACAGTTTACTTTTGAGAAAAAAAAGAAACGGCTAAGCATTATAGGCACTTGAATTGCAGCTGAACTAAATTCAAAAGGCAAAAAATGTTCATTTCAGTCAAACTGCATACAAAAAAGTTATTCTACATTTGGTTCAGTACATGAAAAGTTCAGCGTTGGAATCAAAGCTGTTCCAAAGTCGCTCCAAAGGAAAAATTCTCGGTGGAGCTGGGCAAAAAGGAGCGCTAAGACGTTCTAAATTGAAATAGGCCTTCCTAATTGATTCAGATGCCGAACTTTTCATGTACTTAATTCAATGTATTAGGCTCGGCTCATGAAAAGTTCTGCGTCTGAACCACAGGAATTGGTCTCCTAGAGTTACTGTACAGTAGACAAATGTGATATCGGGCCTGTGGAAATGGACTCCTTGAATATTTTTGAAAGTCCTAAAAAAGTCCTTGAATAAAAAGTTATCAAGCCAGTATGAACCCTGGTATATGTAGCTAAAATTTTACTGCAACTTTACATGCAAGTTTGAAGAACTGATGATGTGATTGTCTGTCACGAAGTCAGGGTTAGCTTCATTTTTCTCTGGGTGATACAATATTTAAAGAGTAATATAATGCAGTTTTTACCCTTGTTTTAAGCATAACGGGTAAAAGAAGTTTTCAATCCAGTAGAGAAATCCTTTCACTTGTTGAATTTTTGAGAGTTCCAAGCAATTTTGGGCAGTATTAATAGTTACACTATAGGCAGTAGATTTAACTGGTTACCAATGAATAAAGGCTGATAGTTTCGAAAGAAACTGTTTGGGGCTGCCTCAGTGGGAGTAACGAACTAATTTGTATATATCAACAAAGTTGAAATGGTAAATTGGCCACCGTAACGATTACAAAAGCTGGCGTTTCGAGCGTTAGCCCTTCGTCAGAGCGAAACTGGCTACCATCTGACAAGGAGAACACTGCATGGTGATGTACTGGTAATAGGTATTTATTTAAACTTAGCAATATTGAAAGTTTTTAGGATGAATATTTACAAAATACTATTTTATTTTTATCCAGTGGATGAGACAGTTCTGGAAAACTGATAAGTGTTACAAACAGGACCATGGTGTCAATGGAAGTATCTGCTCTTTCATTATATATTTAAGTGAGGTAGGTACCATAAGAAATTTGTGTATTGCATTACAGTAGGGTGCAAATGTATCGTGCCTACTTTTTAGTTAAACAATAGACCCCTCTTTCTAGAGGCTGATAGTTTCGAAAGAAACTGTTT